CGAGTTCGACATTGTGGAGCAAGGTCATGTACCAACTCTCATGTCCTTGCCACAGATGCGCAGTCCCAGGTTCCAGTTCGCTCTCCATCGGGATAAGGCGTATCTGAGTAGCCCTGTACTGGGGATTCAGAATGTGAAGCTTAGGGTTGCACCTAGCTCGCATTTGGTTCTTGATCTTCTTGATATCAGTCAGTTCATGTGCAATGTTCGATTTGACAAGCACAAGAAGTCGAGCTTCCTCGCCTACTTCTCGCATTACGAGTATGGCTTCCACCAGAAGACCACGGGAAGCTTTCTGCAAGAGGAACCCTGAGGAACCCGAGAACTTCGTCTTTGCGATGGATGATGAGTGGGTGATAAATGAAGCCAAAAGGGAACTCGTTCGTCACAGGAAGATGAGGAAGACCAAGTACACACCCAAGGCGGGCAACACGCCAATCCCCCTGGAGTGCCTGGACACCGCGCGCAAGACGATTATGGAGTTCTCCAGGAGCAAGATCGAGACTGAGGAAGAGAAAGAGAAGGTTGTTGAGCTTCCTCCCACGGCGGGAAAAACAGTCTTTAGGATTCTTCCTGGTGGTATCGAGAGTAAAACTTCGGTAGTGCCAGGCAAGCCCCGTGATCCTACCCGTGCGAAGGTAGGTTCACCGGAGGAGTTGGTCAGCAGAGCAAAGCTTGAAGACAGCTCAGCAAGAAAAGAAGCTCGCGCCGGAAGCTTTCCTCTTTCCAGACCGTCCGAAGGGTCCAGAGGACTCGTCGCTAGAACCTAGGAGGATCCATTGCCCGGACAGGAGGTCTCACGGGCCTCTCCTCAGTACCAGCGCATGTTGGAGAAATTAAACAACGATGTTGAGTTGTACAAGTTACATGTGAAGCATTACTATATGAGTCCAGCTCAATTTCGTCGAAGGACCAGCATGCTTGGTCTGCCAGGAAAGATCTACGACAAGTACGTACGACCGCGTTGTCAAGACATGTCGTGTCTGTAGCACTTCGGTGCCTACGCCTCCGCGAGCCAGAACCGCAGGACTTAGGGCATCTTCCTTTGGTGATCTCATTTTTGTTGATCATGAAGAAATTGAATTTGGTCAGAAGGCTTATCTTGCCTTGGTCATAATTGATGGTGCCTCAAATCTCCTGTGGGCAACGGCCCTTACGAGTCTGGAAGCGCCCGAGACTCTGGGAGCCTTTCGACAATCAATGGACTGAAGAGAACAACTGTGTTCCGAAGGGAATCGTTGGAGGCCAAGCAATTTTCACCGTTCAGTTCATGTCCTACTACAAGTTTCATGGAATCATTCCATATCCTTGTGGACCTCGTACTCCCTGGCCGAATCGTGCTGAGACCGCTGTGCGATGGTTTAAACGAACTTGGTCGATCGTGGTTATTGCTCTGGCTGATGAAGGTTATGCAGAGACGGTTACTGTTCGTCAAGCAGCTACTCTCCTCTTGAGATAGCGACAGGAAGACGGCCGCCAGACTTGCTTATGTGGAGACCAGTACTCCAGAACAGCTCTCTCTCGACCCAGCTGAAGAGGACAGGACTACTTTGGATTTTCAGAGGATTTGCCATGAGGGCTCATCAGGAAGCTCGACAGTCGATCGATCTTCGGGAAGGATCTAGCACGACGGGTGATGCCGCCTGATGGCCCACACAAGAAGGGAGATCGTGCTTTTGTCTGGCGTAAAGATGAGTCAAAGAAGAAGTCTGAAGGCGTCTGGGTCAGAGGAATTGCTGTGTCACAAGAAGGTGCCATGGTGTCGGTTGAGGCGCATCGCCCTGTACTTCGAGTCAATCAATGGAAGGTCAGACGTGATCACGATCCGTGGCACGGTGTGGCCATTCCTTTGAAGTCTGATGACCGTTCAAGAAGCTCATCTCAGGATGAGGCACTTGACCGGATTGGTGATCAGATTCTGGAACGTGCTTCGCGGGCTATTGCTGCTACGAGCATGGAATCTGGTACCATTCGCTTATTTCAGGGAAGAGCGATTTCGTTGATCTCGCCTCACCTTACTGGCCTCGCTGCGTGTACCTGCCACGCAGGTCTCGCTGTGAGTAAACCTGTGTTGTTTGGTGAATGGTCTATCAAGACATTTCAATCTTCGATTGGTTCTGCTTGGAAGACGATCTCAGCGGCTGAGCCTGATCAAGTTATCATTCACCCAGTCATTCCTGCAGAATGGGCTAAGAAAGCAGCACGTGCGTTCTGGCAAGTTTGTGCTGAAGTGTGTCATTGGCAGGATGATAGAGGATACTTTGTCACCATCATGTATCCTTCTCATTCTGGGTTTTGGTCGTCTCAGCGCAGTCACTCCTTGCAGTGGCGAAACAACATGACGTTCTGCGCTTTCAAGAACAAGGGGGAACTAGAACATGGAGAATTGTTCTTTTTCACGAACCTTCCTGAAGGATCTTTGGGTCGTCTGGAGTCGCTTGATGAAGGCTATGACTCGACGACTTTTCTTGATCCTCGGTTCGCTGTTCTCTTTTCTCAGTGTCTTGTTGGTAACAGATACTCAGATTGGAGACAAGCTTACTTGTTCGAAGATCTTTTCGAAGACTTCGACGATGGATCTCTGTGCACGTTGTGTTTGCGATCGCATCGTAACTCAGAAGCATTGCCTGTTCTTCCCTTGAACGAAGAGTACCGCTTCCGGCGAATGCCTCAACAGGCAACAGGGAAGCTTCCGCAAACGGTGCAGTTTGTCGCTCCACAGCGTTTTGTTACTTCGTCCTTGGTCCAGACCCTGTCTTACATTGGCAACATGTTGCCGGGTGTTGAGTTGGAAGTTCATACAAACACATCTCACGATGCTTCGGTCTTACGGCCGATGATCAAGGACGTGAGAGTTCTGACACTTCCTACCTGGAGTTTGAGTTTTGCAATGTTTACAGGGGGACTTATGGAAAGACACTACCGCTGATTCATCTTCATCCTGATACTGTTGTCATCTTGTGGAACAAGGGTGATCAGGACCATGTGTTTTTCTTGACGATGTCGCAGCTCCTTCCATGTCTTAATAAAGGCATGAAGGCAGACAGTTGGTCCACGATTGTGTTTTGGAACGAGTCCAGAGGTCCTACGTCACATCGGGGGCCTGATGTTGGGGTTTTACTGATCAACCTGCGCCCACTCCTGACGTGCCGCCGCAACATCCTGGTGCCGACGACGACCACAACGTCTTCTTTTGGCCTTGTATAGAGCTCCATGAGATCAGCCTGGCGAGCCCTCATCGACTCATACGCTTCCAAATCCTTCAGCGCCTTCTTGGCGAAGTTGCTTTTGAAAGATTTCTCGTTGGTGAGTTGAAACGCAGAGTTGACGGCCAGAATATATGGTCCACTGAAGGGCTCCTTCAACGACGAGTCGCCCTCCTCTGTTTTTACCACATACCTTTTTGTGACCTCAAAGTCGGTGGCCTTCTTCTCGAGGTAATTAAAGAAGTCCTTGCCGTAGGCCTCGGAGATGACCCCACAAAGGTAGGAGAAGTCATCCCTGACATAACCGACCTCGCGGTATATATCCCTCTCCATGTTGAGAGCATTATTTATTATTTGCCTCAAGTTTTTGAGCGTAGTCGGGATCGTCGGTCTTTGGCTTCTTATCGCGAGGGTCTGCGGCACTCGGCGGAGGGGAGCCAGTCTCCCTGATCAATGGCCGGAACTCTCTTCCCGCTGCATCCTGAAGGTCCGTTAATAGCCCAGCGAGACCTCCGGAATAACGGAGTCTGTCGTTCTCCCGTGGGGACGAATAGCCACGCGTATATCGCTTAGGCTTCATCGTCATCTCATTGTAGAGATTTCCAATGGCCTTGCCGAGTTCGAACGCCTTCAAGAAGAAATGGACCGAGTAGCCAGATCGGGATGTTGCAACCGCGTCGCCCATTCATAATCACCGCCCAGCAGCTTCCGGGTTTCCGCAGGAAGCTTATCCCACGGAGTGACCTTGACGACGGGGTCACCGTAGAAGTTGTGTAGCTTTTCTCCTTTGTCGTTCACGCGGTGGAGCAAGCCGTGGTCAGTGGTCATGCTCCTCCTTTGTCAGGCGTCTAAGGCAGCAGCGCGTAAACTCAAACTTCCAGATGAGGTTAGGCTGCAACAGTCGTGCTGCAGACTGCCTCTCGTAGTCTCTGACACGCGAAAGGAATGCCAGTTGGCCCTCCGGAATGTTCACAACGGCTATCTCTCCATGTGGAAAGTATGCCGTTGTGTCCTCTTGAAAAGCAAACGTTGGAACGTTCACCGGCTTGAGCTTATGGAGGAGGCGCACGAATCTTGGCATTCCAAAAACACCTGGGTGCGTCCTGGGGTGTCCTTGCCCCCCTCTCCCTGTGAAGAGCCTTCGGCGGACGCGTACCCTGCCGCAGCCATAGCTGGAAACAATAGTGAATCGTGGGCTACCTTCTCACCAATGCAGGCACAAATTTACAAAGAGACCAACAAACTCTTCAGGAGACATGTGCTGCGTTGAATTGCACTGACAGCTTACATGAAACAGCAAAGCGCGACCCACAACCGCTCCGGCGTGAACGCGACATCGTGCACTGACTCAAGAACAGGAAACTCTCTGCGAAGCCACTTGCTCAAGAATGCATTGTGCTCAATCATGGACCTAAAAGGAGGACGCAAATCGATTTCCTCTAACCACCCTGTTTGGACAGAAGTGAGGAGGTTTCTAGGGTTAGCGCTTCGTTTCGTGAGGCAGTCAGAAAGATCTGAATCGTGTGAATGGTTTCTTGTTGTTCCGGAAAGTGAGTGGTAGAAGCAGTGCCAACGAGATTGTTAGAATCGGTGCGGATGTAAATTTCGGCATCGAGACCACTAATGTCCTTCCACAACCCTCGGAGCATTTGACAGGCACCAAAACAGTTCATCAGAGCATAAAGTTCAGCGACAGTAATGACTCAGTAGTGCTGAGGGTCGTTCGTATAATTTTGGTTGATTCGAAGAAGACCAAAGAGCTTCGGGTGTCCCTTCGATTCTTGACCCTCTCATCAGCAATAAAAATCGTCATCGCAACTTGGGATGATTTGCCGCTGTTATTCCGAAAAGCAGCATCCGGAATTCCAAGAATCCTAGGCGATCCCTTAACAGGCCACACACGCAACTCAACCTCTTCACTACGGATGGGTCGACACAACTTGTTCAACTCCTTACAGTGACTAACGGTTGGAGCAGCGGATGCTGAGGCCAGCCGGGAAAACTGGCAGCAAGCCTGGAACTGTGTTCTCCGCTGCAACCAATCTTTCCCTTCTTGTCTTCGATGCCATCGTAGGCGACATATGTGCATCGGTCAGCTCGAGTAGGTTCGAGACCAACCGACCAAAGGAACTTGTCAAGTCGGTTCCACCACTTTCGTGCTGCGTCGTTCAAACCATAGACCGGACGAAGGCACAAACCAACCGTCCAAGGTGGAAGGCCGATGTCCGGAGGCAACTGAACAACAACCGAACGAGATGACAAATTGTAGTGTTCCCCCTGAAGACAGGCAGTCTTCAGATCCAAATGGAAACCACACCGAGTGGGCGTAGAGCTGTCCGTTTGCTGGTCCCAGGCAAACTTGTCCTGGAAACCACGGCAGACCCAACCGGCTTTGAACTTGGAAAAGTAACCGTTCTTAAACTTTGACGGTAAGGACCCAACGTCCAGTGAGAAAACTGACGTCACGTCCAAGCTTGCGGCGGTCGGTAAGCCGGATCGCGTCATTGTCCAAGCAACTTTGAACTCTTCCAGCTTAGCCGTGCGAATTCCCTTCACGTACTTGCGCTGCGTTTCGGGCGCAAGGGTACCCGCCTTGATTTTATCCTGCTTGGTCAACCAGGACGCAAACCCGTCACCATCCAACGGCACAAACGAGGGCACCGAGAAATTTTTAGGCAAACGGATCAGGACATCCTCGTCACCAACAACAAAAGCAAGCAAGCTATCGTCTGGTCGCATCAGAATCCGACTCGCCACCGGCATCCGGCACAGGAGGTTCCGGGGTGGGTTCTGGGATGGGTGCTTGCTGAATAGGAAATTCTCCCTCAGTCATGGGCGGCAAACCAGGAACGGCAGACAGGTTCTGCAACCGGAAAGTCACCCGCAGGATCGGGATCCTTCTTTCCTGCCGACTGTCCAGGCAGCAACACCACCGGAGGACCGGATGGATGCACCATGATCGACTAAGCCGTAGACATATCATCCAGGTGAGGGCCCCGCGCACGCATTTGCGTCCCGGCCCCTGTGGACCGTCCTCCACCATCGTCCGGATCGCGTGGCGTATCCAGCTCTGAGTCCCCATCCGGCGCCGGCACCTGCGCGCCGCCTCCGGGAGGATCCGAAGGAGGATCACCACCGGTACCAAGCTCGATAGGATCATCATCAAGATCCGGTTCGGGCTGGCCCTAGGTGGCGGCATGTCCTCGTCGTCAACCAGCATTTCGCCGTGAGGATCGTCGTAGCCTGGATAGTCCACATCGAGGAGTTTCTCGAGAACTTGCCTGGGCCGGTGATCGAGGAGATCCTAGAACCTTTGGCTCCAATGGATACGTCCGAACCGTCCAGTGAACCCACAGCGGGCTTACCGCAGGGTAAGATGGCACAACCAGTGCACCAATGGACACCGATGCTACAAGGAGAGGCATCTGGGGCCAAGGTGGAGAAAACCGAAAGCGGCAAACCTTACAAAGAATGCTCACAGCCGGACTGGAACACGTTCCCGACGCTGGACCCGATCATCGCCACAGTCTTTTCATGGGGACACTCAATGAGCGATGATCAGTGGAACAACTGGATCATTGGACAGCACGAGTTCAAGTTCCACGTTTCAGAATGGGTTCTAAATTCGTCTTCAGCTGCCAACATGCTCAACGACCGAGACATCGACAGACACACTCCCCGTTCACGCGAACCAATACTTGGGAAGTTGAGTGAAGGCTATGAATCGGAATCCCGACTCGGTCAAGGATGCAGCGGACAGGAGGAAGTCTCGGAGGAAGGATAGACAGAAGCTGAGGAAGGCAGCCGGGTCGTCTTCCGACCCTGCTCCAGAGGCAAGCTCTCCACAGGGAGAGGCATCCCCCGGTACTTCTAGTATGGGCTCCAAAGGTTCTCAACCACCTGCTGAACCAGCACATCCTCCCAAAGGAAAGCATGGCGGCAAATCTGGAGAGAAGGGAGGCAAGTCCTCCAAAGGCTCCAAGGGCAAAGACAAAGGCAAGGGCGAAGGAATACAGCGACTAGATTCTGACTCTGAGTCGGAACACGAGCCAGTCTACGAGTCAACGTCCTGCTCCAGTGATCTCCAGTGATGGGAGATCCTTTTGTTCGTCGGTACTCACAGTTCCTCATTTTGCAAGACCTGCACCAGCCGACGGATGGAAGAACCCGTGATCGGCAGTGGGACCATGACATCGAGAACATAGACTGTGCGCTTAGAGGAATGCCTCTCACTGGAGAAAGTATCCCAGTGTAGTGCGATTTCAGATCTTAAGAAGATGCCTTTCACTGGAAGGGGTACTTCTTATGCCCTTATTGTCAAAGGCATATAGACACACTTTTCACAGGAAAAGATACTCTAGTCACAGAGCCGCATATGCCATCGCTGGCAACAAGTGAAGCTAAGCTCTAGTCCTTTTGTTCAATATGCTGCTGCTTTCCAAGGGGAGGTAACTGATGAAGCGGGAAACTCTTGAATCAGTTTGAATCAAGATCCAAATTGTTGTGTGCTGTTCCGTTTGTTTTTCAGGAAGCTGTTTTCGGGAATAGTTTGTACAGGCAGAGTTTGAATAGTTGCTCATAATGCATTCTTGGGAAATAACAGCAATGTACAATGCCGACTTCACGGCCACGCAGATCTACGTGTTTTTAAATTTGTGCTTGGTTGAAACACTGAATATTACACATCCAGGTGCCTGTCTGCTTCACGTATCACTTGCATGTATCTATGCCTGTTGCTCAAGGTTCTACTTCAGTACTGATCTACAGCTGTGCGCCTGTAGAAAAGACACACCTGTGTGTGCCTGTGTTCCTGCACACCTTGCCCCGGGATGCATGCCCGGGTTACATGTCAGGGGGTGGGGTTTGGGGTTTTAGGAGGTTTGGTGGTTTTACGGGGGTTTGTGGGGTTGACTGCCACAAGGAGCACAAGGCGCTTTACAGGTTGCGCAGTCTGTTTCAGGAGTTTGGGAAGTAACGGAAACTCCCCCCAGACAAGGGATCTGTTTGCCCTCTTAGGGCTCCCTGAAGTTTCCCCACCGCTAAACAAAGGGGGCGGTGCACTTTTGTGAAGATTTATAGATAGGAACCTGTATAGCTTTGTATAGTGTCCCACACCTTTGTTGGAGCCCATGAAACGCATGGCTACGACGCAGCGCCTTTTGTGGTTCAAGGCAAAAGCGTGACCGCTTAGAGTTGTACTGTTTAACTTGGTAGCGGAGCAGAGCCTGAAGATCCGGGAATCCGTGGGACGGTAAGGAAGTACTGTACACCATCAGCAAGATCAGTATTCGAAAGAATGAGTATGGAAAGGATGCTGCCGAAGATGCACAAGGACCTCTTGGGAATTGTATCAGTGCTCTGGATGGTATGGTACCCGCGCCAGGTAGTTGCAGAAGAAAGTTTGTATCACCTTGATTTTCTACCGCAGCCATACTCCCTCAAAGAGGAAGTAAGAAACCTTGGATGGGAATATCCCACAGTACCCCTGCAATGGAAAACAGACCGGAGCAGGACGAACGTATGGAAGAAAGGCCAGAAGCAGGAGCGTGAATTGAAAAAGCATCTGCTGGAATCGTACCCGCGGCAGGAACCCTTGAGCTGGAACAGCAATCCGATGATGTGCCCGCGTCGAGAAGGCAACACAGAATTACTCTCACTTCCCAAAGTGGACAGAAGGGGAAAAGCTGCGACCCCGGCTATCCGGCCAGGAGATACCTCTACACCTGCTACAGGAACCAAGAGTAAGACAGAACGGAAAGAAGAAAAGAAGGCTGCCAGGAAAGAGGAGAAGAGAAACAGGAAACTGGAGAAGTCGGCGCAAAAAGCTGAAGAGTCTGAAGCGGAAAGAGATCCAGCGCGGAGAAAGCTCGATGCCGCTCTGGAGAATGCGGGGGAAGAAGAAAGGATTGGGCTTGAGAAACTTCGAGAAGAAGTCAGAGCTGAGGATGCTGAAGCAGCAGGAATGGAAGGGAAACGTAAGCTGGAAGAATTGGAAGAGAAGAGACGTGCCCTGGAAGAAGAGAGTGCCCGAAAGCAGAAAGAACTCGAAGATGAAGCTCGCAGACTCAGAGCTGTGGAAGAAGCCGAACGTAGAGCTCGAGAACAACGTTCGAAGAACCCCAAGCTGCAAGTACCAGTGGAAGCTGAGAAGGCTGAGAAAGGAGAAACATGGTTCGAGCGGAAGGCTACCGAACTGGTCGAAGGCTATATCCAAGCGTATGCACCGCAGCAGAAGAAGTCGAAGGAACTTCGTTTCTGCACTTCAGAAGGCTCAGGATAGCGCACAGCTACTGCAGAAGAGTATGGGCAAAGCTTTGGAAGCAGCCATTGAATTTGGCCGTGAAGAAGAGCGAGCCAAGTTGTATACTCAGGCGAACGAGAAATGTACGCGACCTGAAGCACCTCGAGTTAAAGCAAGGCCTCAGACCCCAGCTGTACTCCAAGACAAGCTCAAGAAAGAAAAGGCCCAGAAGGATGAAGAGCTTAGTAAGTCTAGAAAGAAGTATGGACCTGCTCAAGCTCGAGAACAGCCAGCTGAAAAAGAACCAGGAAAGGAATGGCTTGACAAGACCTACGAAGAGAGCTGGAAGGTTGGAAGAACGATCGGGTCGGATGAGAAGTACTTGGAATGTACCTACTACCCATTCTCGCCTGAATGGCAGGAAAAGGTGCGAAAGGACCTGCTGGACCTGGCGCACCGTGGGTTTGCAACGAATGCAGATGGAGATCTGTGTCCGACGACAAGATTTGCATGGCAACTACGATCAACCCGAGACTTCAAGGAGATCAACGACTCCCTCGAACCGGACTACAGTATCAGACTGGTCTGGAAAAGTCAGGAAGTTAAAGGAAAAAGTAAGGCGGTGGATGAATGGCACTGCTACCCTATCGGAAGGGGAAAGATGGAGAAGACCAATAGGATTGGAGTTCCGTACACGGTTCGGGGAAATTTGCCCCCAAACAAGAATATGTGCTCCATATGCTGGTCAGAAGGCCACTGGAAGAGTGAATGCCCACTCATGGTGTCCGAATTGTGGGAGCCAGCACTCACAGTATTGGTGCCAAAGGAAAGACTCCGGAGATACTACCCGTTGCGGAACATCGTCTGCGAACACTACAAGGACGAGAAGGATGAGTACCAGAAGTACTATCCAGCTTTTGCATTCGTGGATTATGGTGCCTTCAGCGGCAAGATTTCCGAAATCAACAAGAAGAAGTACAAGGATGCAAAGATGCGAAGTCCTGAAGAATAACCTGAGATCGAACCTCCAGAGGATGAACGTGGAGGAAGTCTTGTACTGTCTCCCGAAGAAGCAATCTCGTATGCTG